GATTCATATTATCTAGTCAAGTCGAAACTTAATTGTCATGCAGTATATTTCTCCTATACTATATCTTCTTTATTAATATGTCTCCAGTAAATATGATTCCAAAATGCACTCATGTTAATCCTAAAGAAGACAAATGGAGCAGCCCAGTGTAGACCAATGCGGTTTCATAGTGCTTCTAACAAGACAGAGTAATTTTCAAAACAATTACATGTGTATTACATGTGGATATAGGAAATATAAATAGGTTCAGTCCTGGGAAGACAGGTCCAAGTAAAATAATCTAGAAGGAAGTTTGGAGTAGCAGGGAAGGAAGGTAGGTAAGAGAATAGCAAAGATACATTCTCCCTTATTTTGCCTAATGTCAAAAAGAAGAGTTATGAAATATCTTGGGTTTTTATTTTACTCCCTAAATATTTTGCTCCCTAAAAATTATTCAGCAGGTAGTTTGTTATATGGGGTTTAAAATTTTTCATTTTGTTTCAGATGAACACATGAGAATTAGAAACTCAATTTAGAATACTGAATATCTTAGTTGTATAGTACCTGGAAGGCTTTAGCTGTATTAGATAATATTTCTCTTAAATGAGTGTTGAGTTCACAGAAGTTGATTATAGTATTCTTGACACTTTTTCATAATCTCGGATATTTCATAATTAAAACATGGTTTAGTAAAAATATATTTGCATTCTATGTTCAGCTTTATAATTTATTCCATTTCTTGACTCATACAAACCTTTGATAATCAATTAATGATTATGGAAGTGAGTCAGTCCATAGCACTAAAGTTCTGTATGATTCTAAGTTTAGCAAATAGGCCAAATCTAACTGTATAATTACATTGATAAAAATAAATTCTCAATTATAAGAACTATAGTAAAGAAATTATATCATTAACACTGTAGAATAAACTCTTTAAAATATAAAATATGACAGGAATTTTATAGAATTTTATATTCTGACGTTCTAATTTTGTAGTTATAAATTTCTATTGACATTTTTAAAAATGTCCAGATTTTGCAAAAACTATGTTGAGTGCATTATCAAGAAGATAAGGGATGTCTGGGTGGCTCCATTGATGAAGTGTATGCCTTCAGCTCAGGTCATGATCCCAGGGTCCTGGGATAGAGCCCCGCATCAGGTTTCCTCTTCTCTCTGCTCCTTCTCCCACTCCCCTGCTTGTGCTCGCTCACTCTATCAAATAAATAAAGTCTTAAAAAAAAAATTCATCATCATTTTAAAACTTTTTAAATAGGAACAGAGAAGCCAGATGACATAACTAGCATTGCTGAGAAAATACCAGTATACCACCTACTACAGAAAACCTGATACAGTGAATCTACTTTCAGAAATTTATCTCTCCTATGAATTATCAAGTCATATATTTCTGTTATGGTACTTAACAGTCATAGAGATTATATAGGAGCAACAAAAAGATTCACCCTCTCTCCCCCCTGCCAAAAATACACATAGACCCCACGTACTTGAAAAATAAGATCATCTGGGTGTGGCAATTCCTCAAAAATTAAATACTTACCATATGATCCAGCAACTCCAATTCTGGGTATATACTGAAAAGAAATTTTGAAAGCAGGGATTTCAAAAGGTATTTGTGCAACCCATGTTGATAGAAGCATTATTCACAATAGTTAGAAGATGGAAACAACCATATCCATTAACAGATGAATGGATAAATGTGATATATACAAACAATAGGATATTATTCCACTTTAAAAAATTTCTGACACATGCTACCACATTGGATGAACTTTGACATTAATGCTATGTGAGCTAAGCCAGTCACAAAAGGACAAATATTGTATGATCCCACTTATATGGGGTACCTAGAGTAGTTAGAGACATAAGTTTCCAGGGGCTGGCAGGAAGAGGAAATGGAGAATTAGTGTTTAATGGGTACAGTTTCAGTGGGGAAAAATGAAAAAGGTTTGTAGATGGATGATAAAGATGTTTGCACAACAGTGTGAATATACTTAATGCCACTGAACTATACACCTAAAAATGGTTAAAATGATAAATTCTGTTGCATATATTTTACCACAGTAAAATAAATCATCTGGAAGTAAATTTGTAAAATAAGCATGATGTCTTAGCAAATAAAAAATAGCAAAATACTTTCCAAGGATGACATCGAATTGACAGTATTGCCATTAATGAAACAATTTCTACATCAAAGACATTTGTAAGCAAAAAAACTCTTTAAAGAGGAGAAAGACTAATGACAGTGTATTTTTAGCACAATCCAACCCATGAAGAATGTAACATGACTCAAGTGAAAAGAGATGCATCAGGCCTGAAACATTAGCCATTTAAAGCACCAAACTCATTTCTTGATTCCATTCTATATTTACCAAACAATCTTCTCATGATTTCGCTCTGGCTTTCACTGTAATTTGCTCAATACAGAGAAAATGATGATCAGCAGGCTTTAGTATTCTACCTCCTTCATCATTACATTTTTCATAAATTAACATGTTAGTATATGGTTTTTAGAAAGCAATTTCTTAGCAGATTGAGTGTGACTCAAAACCCTGGAGTCCAGTCACTTCCAAATCTGATAAACCAATTTCAAGCCTAGAAGATCAGATGTTGAAACCCATTGATCACACCACGGTCCTGCTAAGTTGTGGATACCTCAAGCTATACCACCTTTCCCAAACAACTCCCCATTCTAAATATATACTTTCCATAATGCTGTATTGTAATTACCTATTATTAGACTTCATTCCTTGAAGATAGGGAGTGGATCTTATCTTTTATCCCTAAAACTGATGAAGTTTTTGCCCAAAGGAAAGAACCCAATAAATATGTAACAAATGAAAATAAAATCCAATTTAATAAGATATAACTAGGAAATTATTATAAAGATTTTTCTATATATTACTTTCCTCTAAAACTTCCAAGGCAGGCAATAGTACAGAAAAAAATGAGCATATTTTGATTCTAAATTCAAGTGGAAGTTATGGTAGTTAAGCCATCTTTCCTTGAGAATGTCCACCAGTGGCATTCAAATCATATAATGTGATCTGTATAAAAGCCCAGGTAGGCCTCATAGAGCATAAATGTCTTTCCACCAATAATTTCTCCTCTAGTGCAATAAAGAAAATGGAAAATGTATACCTTTACTTACCAAAGGTACAGTGCCTTTTTCTTTCTGCTACTTATGTGCCATCAATCTAAGGAAGAATAAAATTCCTTCCTAATGTGTCCTAGGGTTTTGCTGTTTCCCATAATGCAGCATTAAGACTCAACACCAGCCAAAGAGCCTGGATAAGGAATCTACCAATGATACCAGCACATACAAAAGGGATAACTCTTGACACATTCTTGCAGAGAATGGCGTTGAGACACACCTGCTGAACATAATCCAAATTGCAAGAAAACGCCAGATAGGAAAGGTTTTATGGTCAATCTAGATTTCAGCATATAATAGAAAATAACCTCTAACCAATCATAAGCAGTTAGAAGAACAAATTTTTCTTAACCTTTTGGTCTTAATTTTTCTTTTTTTGGGTCAGCCACACTTCCTAAGGAAAATAGGAGTTATTTTATCTTCTAGAAGTTAAGGAAACAGATTCCAGAACCAGATGGCCTGGGTTTTTTTTTTGTGTGTGTGGTTTTTTTTTTTTTTTTTTTAAGATTTTATTTATTTGACACCGAGATCACAAGTAGGCAGAGAAGCAGGCAGAGAGAGAGAGAGGGGAGAAAGCAGGCTCCATGCTGAGTAGAGAACCCGATGCGGGCTGGATCCCAGGACCCTGAGATCATGACCTGAGCTGAGGGCAGACGCTTGACCCACTGAGCCACCCAGACACCCCTAACTTCTAATCTTAGCTTTAAGTTTACTAGCTGTATGACCTGCAAATCATCAAACTTTGTGGTCCATTTGCCTCATCTGTAAAAGGACAGTAACTAATTACCTCACAGGATTATAGTGAGGTTTAAATAAATTAATCTGCAACACTGCTTGGGACAACGTAAGTTAATTGCTAATTATGGTTACTATTGTGACACACAACATTTTGAAAGCATAAGTTTCACCTAGAAAATTCTCAACATTTTGGTAATTATGAATGTATCTATTAGTATCTGCCAGTAGACTCTAACTGTGACTTCCGACAGTGATTCACTTATCTTACATTTACTTATATCAAGAACTTCATGCCATTCTAAACACGGATCTATGTGACAGCCTTACTCAGTCTTGCATAAATGAAGTCCTTGCTTAGCTTAGTGAAACCTTGAAGTCTAGCAGGCCTGTGGCAGAAGAAAGACTCTTGGGATAAATGTATTCACACAAATGACAAGTTCACATACCAGTAATAGGAAAAAAAACCAACCACACTGAAGGAGGTCCAAGAATGAGTATTCTCCTGAAGGTTGTGTACATGGCAAGCAAAGACCATATTATAGTTTTTTCATGGTAAATGAATATACATAGCCCCGTCCCCTTTTTAATCACAAAAATGAGGCAGCCCCACACCTTCGCTCCCCAAAGTGGCAGTGACGGTTTAGCCTGTCCGACCCGCAGCGCTTCCGTCCCTCGGACCCTGTACAAGCCGGTCCTTGCGTCGTCCCTACGTTCCACACTTTGTTTCTGGAATCACTCGCTAGTCAGGCCACAGCCTTCAGAGCGGACTGACGGACACTCCAAACCCTCCTTTTCGGACAGGGGCGTCCGAACTCCAGCCAAAGGCAGACGGATCTTTCCACACAGCTTAGTGTCCGGAAGTTAATGCTGCGGAGTCAGACGAATCCACCTTCGGCCTCCACTGGGTCCCAAGCCGGGTGACCCGGCAGAAGTCCCGCTACCTGTAAACCTAAGGGCAGCGCACTAGCGCGCGCCGCGTCCCGGACGAGAGCGGTCCTCGCGCGGCTCCGTACCGAGCTCTGCGACGTCGGCGACCAGACACCGCCCCGTGTCGATGACGTCACTTCCGGGGCGACCGCTCCGCCGCTCGCTCTGGGGGAAGCGCGGTTTGCGGTCTTCGCCAGGGCAGGGCTCCGGCGCTGTGGCCACGGTGGTTCGCGGGGACGGAGGGTAAGACGGCCCGCCCTCCCCCACGGCTTCCTTCGCCTGCCTGCGAGGGCGATTCCAGCACCAGCCTGGACCACCGGCCCAGGACCCTGGATCCACTTAGGAGCTTTCGTGGCCTTGAAGACCAGTGCTTCGCTCAGGCTTCCCTGCCTGGGTTTCCGTGATGCGAATCTGATTCCTTCGGGGCGGCGGGGCCAGGCCTGCGCTCCCCGCCGCGGTCCTCGCGCGAGGGCCGTGCCCGCCGCTCCACCCCCGGGGCCCTCCGCCACGGGGGACGATGAAAATCCCAGCACTTACTCTCTGATTTTCCCGCTAGTGTGTAGGGAAGGGCCCGCGTAAGCCCCTAGAAAGTTCTAGAACAGGTCGTCCGGGGGCATGAAACCAGATACTTGAAAGAGTGAAGATACCAGGGTGCTTTAGTGATGGGCTGTTGTCATTTTGAGGAGAAAAAAGGAATTTGAGGAGATCCTACTAAGATAACGTGGTAAAATGGAGATGGAGTTAGAAAACTTGTGATTAATGGATGAAGTGGGTATGAGGTTGCAGTCGTCCTAGTCCAGATGTGGTTCTCGGAAGATGAGCTTTGTAAGAACAGTTGTTCCCAAAGTGGGCAACTGAGCTGTGTGTGTGTCTTTTATGTGGATTGTTTTCTAACCAAATTGCTAAATTTTATTTTGGTAGATATTTCCAGGAAATGGAATGCATTTATCTGTTCTGTTTGCCTTTGTCATTTAATTTTCTTAAACCAATTTTGTCTTAACTGTAGCTATCAAAAAATAAATAGCACTTTCCAAAGGACTATCCATGCAACCATTAGCTATTTTATGAATAATGAATAGTTTACTGAGAACATCATGATAATAATACTAAAAAATTTCATAATTGATTTCCTTGTTTTCACCTTTGAGAGCGTTGTATTCATTCATACTGTTATTTATGTTCAAAAAATTTTGCTAACTTTTACAAAACTTTCCCCTAATTTTACAAAACTATTATATTGAAAAATAAACCAATAAAATTGGAATTTTGCTTAACTGAATGGGTTAGTGGTTATTGTCAGTTCCAAGTAATTAGTTTGTTTCTTCATTTCTTTTCCAGGAGTTATTTATAGAGTAATTATGCTAATACTGAGTAAGACAGCAGGAGTCTTTTCTAAACCAGCAAGAAGGAAAACTTATGAATTTTTAAGAATTTTTAATTTTCATTCTGGAAAACCGTTTCTTCATAAACTAGTGTTGGGAATCGAAACCAGTTGTGATGATACAGCAGCTGCTGTGGTGGATGAAACTGGAAACGTTTTGGGAGAAGCGATACATTCCCAAACCGAAGTTCATTTAAAGTAAGTAGACATTATCTTCATAGTTCCCACTTTTGGGAAAAACAAAGTGAAATAATTATTTTCTATTTATCATATATAAAAGTTCAATTTTAGGAGCTAAGTTCTTTTGTGCAAAAGCTCCTAGTAGCTGTACTAGAAAACCTTAAACCCTGCACCCTGGCTTTTAAGGCTGTCCACAGTAAGGTCTCAACTTGAGCTGAGCGTCTTGCGAAAAGAACTAAGCTCATTCCCAACTCTAAGACTTATCCATGATTTCCCCTTAGTAATGCCTTTTCCTCTTTGTCCACCTGTACGTTTCATGGTCTTAACTAAAGTCCTAGGAGAGCGTGACCCCATCTCTAGCCTATGTTAATCTCTGGGGGAAAAACATCTTATTTCACATTTATACTTATAACTCATGTTGGTACTTAAATAATAATACACTGTTGTATAAAAGCATTGAATGGTGCAAGGTTTATAAACTCATGTCTTTGCAGAGGACCACTAGTGAGGCTACACAGATGAGTGGGCTGGGTATAAAGTGGAAAATATCTGGAAGAAGAAGCAGCCAGTTTTCGCCATGTAGAAACGTAGGCCCTGTTTTATTTGACCCTCGGAATTTTCAAGAGAAAATTGGAAATCCAGAATATAACTGTAATATCTCCAGGTGTTAAAATTAGTTGTTAATTCAAAATATATTAAAATGCTGCACAAATCAAATATGCCTTCAAGCCATCAATTTATAACACCTGAATAGTGAAAAAGGTTGGTATTTTGAGATCACAGACCTGTGTTTGAATTACGAATTAAGCAATTGGTGTTGGCTCTGATTTTAGGCAAGTTCTTTATCCTGATTGTGTTTTCACACCTGTAAAATGGGAAAGATAATAACCTGCCTTATAGGATTGTAGGGAGTATAATAGAAATAATATATATGAAAAGACAGAATAGACCTCTAACAGTTATGTACTGTGTGAAACGGACTAAGGTAAGTGCTAATCAGGTGTAGTGAAATACTAAAAAGTCCTTCCCTTCAAGGAGCTTAACCTGTTCTCTGAGGCATGATATATAGACCTGCAAGGAAACATACAGCTTTCAGTCCAAGGCAGCATAAAGCATCAAACAAGTGGTGCAGACAGTAACTATTACTACCATGCCTCAGTCCCACTCAGTATTTCTGAGTGTCCTGGACGTTTGCACATGTAAATGTTGACTGTGTAGAAAGTCCTTCCCTGACCACTTCGTTTAAATTCGGTATCCCCACCATGCTTATTCTGTATCACCACACCCTGCTTATTTTCTTCATCATCCTTTTAATAATTTTTACGTTTGTTTACTTCTGTGTAGTCTCATCGCTTCTCGGCCTTTTGGCTAAGAGCAAGTGTACTTCTGTGTAGTCTTTTCCCCAGCAGACTCTGAACTCCATGGGGACAGGCTCCGTCTTAACTGTCTGTATTACTCACTGCACGGTGCCAGATAGCCAGCACGGCATCTGGTACACTGCAGGGGCTAGTGACCTTGGAAATAGGCCTTCAATGAATGGAGATGGAAAAAAAACATTGTAGCAGGAGTAAACATTATGGTAGAGGCAAAGAGGTGAGGAAGTACAGGACAGACGTTCAGTTTAGCTAGTGCCCAGGTCACTGGAGATGAATACACAGGAAGTAAACTTTGTGGAACCATCTACACAGCTCATCTCAGTGCTTACTGAATTCCTACCAGGCAACATTTGAAGCACCGTGGTACAAATATGACTAAGATACATGATCCTTGCCTCTGAGCAGCTTGCCATATAAAGTGCTTTAGAGTGTAGGTTTACATTCTGGTGCAACTATCAACGATCTTACACGGTTTTCTGTGCCTCGGTTTCCTTGTGTGTGAAATAGGGATAGTAATGGTAACAGTAACTAACACTGTTGTGAGGATTAAATGTAAATTCTTCCAAGGTGTGTGGTGCAGTTCTTGACAAATAGCACGAGCTCAGTAGAAGCTACCCATCATTTGCATCAGTCCTACCTCTAGTGCTGTTACAGATGAGTGAAGAAGACAGTCGGGTAAGCAAGTCCTTGTAAAGCAGCATGGAAAATGCATTGATAGAGGAGAGCTTGCGGGGGGGGGGGGGGGGTCCTTTCTTCAAGCCAGAAATCTGAAGGACAGTCTTGACTTTTTTCTCACCACTGTGTCAAATCAGTTGTAGTAAATCTGCCTCCCAAATATTTCTTCAAACGTTTCCCTCCCTTTCCGTGTAATTCAAGCCCTTGTCTCTTGCCTGAACTCTTGGCTTCTACCTTGAGGCCAGATGGTTTCCCTGACTTTCTATTAGCCTTAGCCCCTCGAACACCTACTCTTTATGCTGTGTACAAATTAACTATTTTGAGAATAAAGCCACGGTCTTACTCTTGTCTCGGATGCTTAGCTAGCATAATCCTTTGAAGATAAAATACATAAAAGAGGTACAAAAAGGAAGGGAGGTAGGCATGTGGGAGAAGGAAGAAATAAGTAGAAGAGGATTTAGACTTAAGGTTACCCAAATTTCAAGAAAGTAAATGTTTTTGAGTAGGATAGTTAGGGGTCAGCATTTTGCTTTACTTTCCGGCAACACAACATAGAATGGACTCCAGGGTGATCAGAAAATCCCTCCAGGGAATTGCATTTAGAGGGTTTTGAATAGACTGAGATAATAGGAGCTTTTCGAACTGGTGGCAGTGGGAATGGTGACATACTTAATTGTGGGAAGTGAGATAAAGGAGATAAAGATGAAGCTGGAAACCCAAGTCATTAGAAGGTTTAATGCCATTAACAGAGTTGAAGAATGTAAGAGAAAAAGTAGCTTTGAAGAATTAAGAAAAATGGTATTACTATATATAAATGTGTTGAAATAAGACTGTTTCTTTTATTCCCCTCATTGCCTGATACAATATATAACAAGTTTTTAAATATTTTATTTATTTATTTGAGAGAGAGAAAGAGAACAGAGCTAGAGAGACACAGCATGAGCAGGGGGAGGGGCAAAGGGAGAGTGAGAAGCAGACTCCCCACTGAGCAGGAGCCTGCTTTGGGGCTCCATCCCAGGACCCTGGGATCAAGACCTGAGCTGAAGGCAGATACCTAACTGGCTGAGCCACCCAGGCGCCCTGCATATTATAACTATTAAGTAAATATTAATTGAATGCACCTATTGAGGGTTTTCATATCTGTGTATAAAAGTTACAGCGTTAAATATTTAAAGATCTTTTTGAGATTAGAGGTATATCTTGCAGACCCTATATTTTATTGCTGTGCTTCTCTGGTGTAAGTTAGTCATGCTGGCAATTTTTTTGCTAGCAGCTTTGCCTCCTACTTGTTTACTCTTGACATTTGGAGTGGGTCCTACATAAACCCAAAATCAAAATTACCAACTCTGAGCACTAGATTCCCAACTGTATTTCGGGATTGCAAGCTGTCTGCTGTCCTGCCATGACCTCAAGTGCAGTGTGTTTTTTAAAAATAAACTCATCTTCACAAAACTGTCTTCAAGTTTCTCTCTGTTACTCTTTCTTTTCTCCTAGTCACTCCAGCTTGATATGTGAATCATGTTGGTGCCGTGGACCCTCTTCCCCTTACATCCAGTCGGTCATAACAGTTTTCAGGCTCTCTGTCCCTTTCTTTCACTTCCCATGATCATGTAGTTTAAGATGTAAACAAATACTTTTATAATGACCTCTTTAAAAATTCTCCATGTAGGGACACTTGAGTGGCTCAGTCAGTTAAGCTTCTGCCTTTAGCTCAGATCATGATCCCAGGGTCCTGGGATGAGTCCCACATCACACTCCGTGCTCAGCATGGAGCCTGCGTCTCCCTTTGCTTGCCACCCCACTGCTTGTGCTCTCTCTCTGTCTGACAAATAAATAAATAAAATGTTTTAAAATTAAAAATTCTATCTCCAGAGAGATTAATTTTTCTAAAATCCAATTTTATCCTGTCCTTGTTCAAGACATCTTCCATAGAATGCTTCTTAAGATTGTTTTGGTGGTTCCATTCATCATCAAATCCATAGGAATTCGTTGTGTACAATTTTGAAAAGTCAGACATTACACCCTTAATCTCTATATACTGAGTTTTTATAGTCTGCTGCATTATAAGGCATGCATATTTGAATATACTTGACTAACAATTTAGCTGTAAAATAATTAATTTGAAAACATGCCTTCAGCCCTAATATAAAACTTTTCTTACTCTGCGTTCACAATCGTGAAATTATAAGAGGCTGTTTTTTTGTTTCTTCCAGAACAGGTGGGATTGTTCCTTCAGTAGCTCAGCAGCTTCACAGAGAAAATATTCAGCGGATAGTGCAAGAAGCTCTCTCTTCCAGTAAAGTCTGTCCAAGTGAACTCTCAGCAGTCGCAACAACTATAAAACCAGGACTTGCTCTAAGCTTGGGAGTAGGCTTATCATTTAGCTTGCACCTAGTAGACCAGTTAAAAAAACCTTTTATTCCCATTCATCATATGGAGGCTCATGCACTGACTATTAGGTTGTTAAATAAAGTAGACTTTCCCTTCTTAGTTCTTTTGATTTCTGGAGGTCATTGTCTATTGGCTTTAGTCAGAGGAGTTTCAGATTTTCTGCTTCTGGGGAAGTCTTTGGACATAGCACCAGGGGACATGCTTGACAAGGTAATTATTTAAGAGTTAATTTCTCCATTCTTTTCTGTTAAGTTGTCTATTTCAATCAAATAATAATACACTACTACCATTTATCTAAATATTTCTGATGAATATATTAGACTGAAAAAATTCATATGAGCAGTAAGAAAGAAAAAGAATAGTACATAGTTTTAGAAAAGATTTCTAGCCATTATGAGTGAAATGGTAAGAGGTTTAGATCAGTACATAAAGGCTCAAATAGTTTGCAGATGCAGTTATGTTTTTAATAAAAAAATAAATCTGAAAGAAATTGCCATGTAAAGAACTATAAAGATGTGAAATAAGAGGGTATATAAAATAATATAAAGACATTAAAGATGTACAAAGTTTTGTGATTAAACATCACAATTGCTGACACCATCACCAAGCAGGTTTCTTTTTCCTTTGTGTATGAATCCTGAGCCTACTGCTCTCTGCAGAAATCTTAGTCCCACAGCTGCAATGATCAGAAGAAATGGGCAGGTTCTCATTTTTGAAGCTAATCATTAAGCACTCATTGTGAATTTCAGACTTGCTTTTCATCTCCAGTAGAAGAGCTGAAGTAGATAGGGAAGCGGTGATTGCCCACTGCTGGGCGGGCTGTGAGGAGCGAGTCTATCCTTACTACCAGCTACAGTCCATTTATATAAAAGCAGAGCATATCTTACTTATCCAGGCTTCTTGTTCTGTTTTGGGTTTTGGTTGGGTTTTGTGTGTTTGTGTGTGTGTGTGGTTTTTTTTTTTAAAGTAAATTTCATTTCCTTTGCACCTTGGTTTCAAAATGTGCAATTTTATCACTCATTACTGAAATTTTTGTTTTCAATAGGTAGCAAGAAGACTGTCTTTGATTAAACATCCAGAGTGCTCCACCATGAGCGGTGGGAAGGCTATAGAACATTTGGCCAAACAAGGAAATAAACTGCATTTTGATATCAAACCTCCCATGCAACGAGCTAAAAATTGTGATTTTTCTTTTTCTGGACTTCAGCATGTTGTTGATAGGATAATAACACAAAAGGAAAAAGAGGAAGGTACATTTCTACTTGGAGAGTTGGAAAAATAAGTAATCCTGCATTATACCTAAAAACACCTGCTCATTTCTGCAGGGATCCAGAAGGGGGAAATCCTGGCTTCAGCTGCACACATTGCCGCTGCGGTACAGCACGCAACAGCGTGCCACATTGCAAAGAGAACTCACCGTGCCATTCTGTTCTGCAAGCAGAGACGCTTGTTATCTCCAAGTAATGCAGTACTGGTAAGTTCTGTCACCTCCTCTAACAGTATTATTAATACTTTACAGTATGTTACTTTTCTTCTAGGAGCTTAATTGATCCTGCGCATAGCATCAAATGTGTTTACGTCATAGCCCGGAAGTATGGAATTGTGCAGAATAAAGACTAACAGCCATTTCTTACACAGGTGTGACAGCTTCATGGGACATCTGCACAGCCTGTGTGCCAAAAAACTCCAAGACTGCATCTTCTCATTGAATTTAAAAGTGGGTTTACAATAAGAAGTGAGATGCAGGAACTGCTATCATTATTTTTAGAAAAATAAGCTAGTTCCCTGCAAATTTATGTTCCTTTGATGAAATCCCTTTAGATCTGTGTAAAAGCCTTGGTAAACTTCTGTTTAACTGTATGTTAAACTTCATCCTTTTGAAAATTACAAAATGAGAAAGTATTTAAATGATGGTAGATTCGCAAAATAGAATATTATGTGAATATCAAAGGTAATAATAGCTTTTGAAGAATAATGTAAAATGAGAAAAATGCTTATAAGTAAAAATGGCAGGGTCTAAAACACTGTTGAGCTTTGATTATAATTAGAAAAAAGTTAGAAGAAAATGTACGAAAATGATAGTGGTCCGGGGCTTCTCATGGTACAGTGGGTTAGGTGTCTGACTCTTGGTTTCGGCTCAGGTCATGATCTCAGTTCAGGATTCTGAGATCCAGCCCTGGGACAGGCTCTGTGCTCAGCATGGAGTCTGCTTAAGTTTCGTTCTCCCTCCCTCTTTTTGTCTCTCTCCACCTCTGAAAATAAATAAATAAATCTAAAAAAAATCTAGTGGTCATTGTATACTGATACTGAAAATGATTTTCTTTTCCTCCAAATTTTTACTATACAGATTGATCACTTGCCCATTTCCCACCTCTCAAAATGTGATGTTTTCTTACTGTATATTGCTGGTATTTTCCCCAGGTTAAGCTAACATTTTGGCTCATACCCACACGTAATTGTTAATTTTGGTCTTTTCATTTCCTTCAGGTTGTATCTGGAGGTGTCGCAAGTAACTTATACATCCGAAAAGCTCTGGAAATTGTAACAAATGCAACAGAGTGCACTTTGTTGTGTCCTCCTCCCAGACTGTGCACTGACAACGGCATTATGATTGCATGGTAAGCCACAGGATGTATGTGCTTCACTCACAATTTGCCATTTCATCATGCTACATCTTCTTCCTTTGAATCTTGGTCTGTGTATTTTATTTGCATCACTCTTGCTTAGGAACGGTATTGAAAGATTGCGTGCTGGTGTGGGCGTTTTACACAACACAGAAGGCATCCGCTATGAACCCAAGTACGTGGTACCTTTTATAAAATCTATGCAAGCAGTATAAAATCCAAAGCCTAAAAACAGAGTTTAGTTAGTGGTGGCCGAAGGCATCTCCTGTACTGATGGCCTAGCCTCAGGCAGAACATACTGTCTGCTCCGGTGTTGCCTTCTTGTGACAGTGCTGAGGCTGAAGACGGTGGCTTTTTCCAGACTAGGATCCAGTTGAAGCCTTATATTGGGCAATGTTGTAAAAAAGCAAACATCGGAGTCCACAGTTACTTAAGGAGGAAGAACAGAGAAAAAGAGTAGAACCTCGGACCTCTCCTGCCAGTAGTGACAGAGGAAGGTAGAAAAGGGACAAGCTGGCTTTTGAAACCTCAAAGAAGAATCAGTAAAAACCTCGGGAATTTCTAAAGTAGAAATGGATGCAAATTTGACCTTAGGTGTATGGTAAACTCTTTTTATCCTTTCAGCTTTGTAGAGAATTATAAGGCATTTTTATCATTTTTCTGTTTCACTTTTTTATTTATAGTATGAGAGCAGAACTATTTCTTTCAAAAACTTCAGTCCTCAAATTCATTGAGTTGTATACATTAAAGATGCATAGCTTTTCAATATCAATTATACCTCAGAGTCGTTAAAAAAAAAATCCCAGAATTTAGATCTCTTAATGGCATTAACTGGCCTTCTCTTCACCCATTGTTCCTGCTGTATTTGTTTTCAACAACTGTCATCACATATGATTATACAGTAGCTGCGCACTGTTTGTCGGAATTCTAAGCACACAGTTTGCAGAACTAGTGACAGATCAGGAAGCAAGTGTTTGAAATAATGTGATTTATCTGATTGTGATGCAGATGTCCTCTTGGAGTAGACGTATCAGAAGAAGTTGGAGAAGCTGCCATAAAAGTACCGCGGTTAAAAATGGACATTTGATTTTTGCTTTTCAAAAAAATCCCTAAAGGTAGTATTTCAGCATTAAGTTGTGATTTTTTTTTGTATTTCAAATTGTGGAAGATGCATGATATTAATTGCTCTTCAAGACTTTCTTTTGTTTTTGTTTATGTTTGATATTTAACCCGCTCTTCTGAGAGTCTGTAGTAATATGTTATAGTTTTATAATGGAATATAGATTTTTTATTATCAAAATTAAAGTAAAACATCTTGTGAGGAAAAGAATGTACTGATATTTGCAGGTAGAAAGAAAACCTTGGAAGATATACAGTGAATCTGCTAAATCCTAGCCCCGTATTAAAAAGGCCTAGACCTTTTGGTATTTTTCTCATATCAGGATTATAAAAACTATTTTTTAGATATGTTCTATTTATTTTATGAAATTTATTTTTAATTAAATTATAGTTGACATACAATATTATATGAATTTGAGGTGTACAGCATAGTGATCCAACATTTATATGTATTACAACAGCACGGTATCATTTCACCATCTGTACCATACAAAGTTATTATAATGTTATTGACTGTATTCCCTGTGCTGTAGTTTTCATCCCGCAATTTATTTTATAACTGGAAGTTTGTACTTCTTAATCCCCTTCACTTATTTCCCCTACATCCCCCCCCACCTCTGCCCTGAGAAACTGGTGGTTATCAGTAGAAGCTATTTTTTAGCTCCTTTTGAAACATTCACCTAACTTTTCTAATGAGAGCAATTTTAGAAAAATAGCCTGGTCAAAGTCATGTCAAATCAGAGAATTCTGAATAAAGACAAAAGGTGACTTTAGCAGAATGGATGTTATTAATGATAAAAATATATGTTATTAGGTATCTTCCCTGGAGCAATTGGGATGTCTATATGTTTCTTAAAATCCATCTGAGATTTTAAGAAATATGATAGGCAAGTAATCCTTCAAGTGTGTATTGTGCTTTTAGTTGACCACGTATGTTTACATCCACTATTTTAGAAATTGTATTTAATCAATGAAAATATATGAGATGTAAAGGTTTTTGCTTGTGTTTTTGGATAATTTTCTTTGAATCTGAAACTTTATACCTGCTTATCTTTTTTTCTATCTAAAGTAACTGAATGTACTGTCCTTGAATATAAAGACAATGCTACTGACTTTATTTTTTTTTTTTAAAGATTTATTTATTAGACAGAGATCACAAGTAGGCAGAGAGGCAGGCAAAGAGAGAGGGAGGAAGCAGGCTCCCTGCTGAGCAGAGAGCCCGATGCGGGGCTTGATCCCAAGACCCTGAGATCGTGACCTGAGCCGAAGGCAGAGGCTTAACCCACTGAGCCACCCAGGTGCCCCAATGCTACTGACTTTAATGTCCTTCGAGAGATTTTACCAGTAAAGAGTTGTATTACATCATCATACTGGACCAGGTTGTTAATTTTCTAGTCAATGACTTGCTTTCTTCAGAAAATAGGGGGTAAGGATAAAAATCTAAACTATGAAAAGATTTCTTATTTTAATCCTAACTTAAGGTGACCTCGATTTTGGGAAATTCCATAAGTAATTCTTTTTTTTTTTTTTTAAGAATTGTGAACATAGGGTATTGCTTTATGATCGCCCACTTGGAGATAGAAAATATAATTTATGTGAGGGAACATATAAAAACAGCCAATATTTATTTAAAAAAAAAAAACTGTATTCTTTGCTGTTGAGGTATAGCTATGATAGAATTAGTTTTTTAATATTATTTAGAAGAGGGCACCTGGGTGGCTCCGTGGGTTAAAGCCTCTGCCTTTGGCTCAGGTCATGATCCCAGGGTCCTGGGATCGAGCCCCACATCCAGCTATCTGTTCAGCAGGGAGCCTGCTTCCCCCTCTCTCTCTGCCTGCCTCTCTGCCTGCTTGTGATCTCTGTCTATCAAATAAATAAATAAAATCTTTAAAAATATATATATATATTATTTAGAAGAAACTTAGTTTATGAATTCACACTTTTCATTTGAATTTGTGTTCTGTATCATGTGAACCTAAATCCGTAGAGAAGTAAGATAAGTATTTCCTGTGCGTCTCACAGTCAGAGTGCATTCAAACCATGGAAGGAAATTGACCAAAAATTCTTCCCCCATCACAAATATTTTTAAATGGGGTATCTGTAATCTATTTTCTTAAAATTTTTAAGTATCGAAATTGCTACAGGTGTTACAAGCACACATGTCAAAATAGAGTTCCTGCTCTAAATAAGAGAAACTGCAGATAAAGAAAATGAGCAATTTGGGGACACGTTCCATATCTGTAGGCCTTTTGTACTCGGCAGTAAGGAAGGAGGGTGGGGAAAGGAGAGAGAAAGAGGGAAAGGATAAGGAAGGGAGAAGCACTGAACTCTATATGGGCAAGCATATGTACCAGTTAGCTAATAGTACAGGTAAAAGGCAGACGATTTGCTGAAATCCTCTATCTTGAGGCGTATCTTGTATTTTATTTATTAATTTTTTAAAGATTTGTTTTTATTATTCATTTGATGGAGAGAGGGAGAACACAAATAGGCAGAGAAGCAGGCAGAGGAAGAGGAGGAAGCAGGCTCTCCGCTGAGCCAGGAGCCCAACGTAGGGCTCGATCCCAGGATCCTGACATCATGACCTGAGCCGAAGGCAGCCACCTAACTGACTGAGCCATCCAGGCGCCCCACTCATATATAATTTTTAAAAAACGGGGATGCCTGGGTGGCTCAGTCGTTAAGCGTCTGCCTTCAGCTCAGGTCATGATCACGGCGTACTGGGATGGAGCCCTACCTGGGGCTCCCTGCTTGGTGAGGAGCCTGCTTCTCCCTCTCCCACTCCTCCTACTTGTGTTGCCTCTCTTGCTGTGTCTCTCTCTGTCAAATAAATAAAATCTTAAAACGAAAAAAAGAAAACAAATGCAGGGTAATGAAAGTAATCTTAACTGGAGGACCTGTACTTCAGGAAAAGTACTATAAGTTTTGGGCATAGTAGGATGGCCTTGGGAGGCCAAGAAACTCAGGAGTGTTTTATATTATTGAATACAAAGAATCCCTGATACTCAGCCCTGAAGGTGTTCTTAGAATATAGTCTTCAGTCCGTCAGAAGCCAGTTCCAAAGCTCAAAGTTTGTTGTCTAGAGGGTTTTGTTTTGTTTTACATCTACAGAAGCTTAATATTTCACTAATATGAACTCTTATCCTTAACCGTGCTGAATAAATGACTCATTTCTTATCACTTGAATTATTTTTCCTTTTGTAGTATGGAATAAGCCTTTCCCCCCCCCCCATAATTCCTATATTACAGCATCTTCCAGAAGTAGAATTAAATTTGAAGATTAGAGAGGTCTCCTACTGTCCGATGGCCAAAAGCCTTGGCTTTAGACTCTGGTGCATGGAAAGCTCTGCATGCCTGTAGCTGCCATCACCTCCATCGTTACTGTGTTAAGGCATGTGGGAGAAAATAACGGCTGATGATACTTCAGTATTATAATAATAGTGTAATAATAGTTCAGTGCAGCCTGGAGCAAAGTGGTCAGAGAAAAATGAGGGCTTTAAAGGCTACCATGAAGCCCAGCTTGATTTTATATCAAATCTATCTGCTGCAGTAAAATAGAAGCAGACCTACAGCAGAACTTGGGCCCTCTGGAAACAGTGCTCACTGGGCAAAGACATCATGTGATTCTGAGCCACAGAGTGTCACACTTTCTAGTTGTAAACCAAAAACTTGTAGGTATGGGGAATGGTCAACACTGGTAGCCACAGTGTTTAGCCAGACTTTTGTACTTGGTGGGCAGTGATTTCAGATTTTTTTTTTTTAAGTCTTTTAAAAGTATACATTTCTACACTTGGGGTTTTAAAAGCCTTGTGCCTTTGTAGTATTTATCATTAACTATCTCAAGGTGCTACAGTGCGTGTTAACATGTGGGCTGTTTTGAATCAGGCCTCTTTAGCCCAGCATACCGATTTAAAAATGTTTCTGACACTTGATATAGAGATACTAATTATGCCACTTGTGTCAGTTGCTGTATTTTAATAGTGTTAAGTGCAGGAAAATTCTATTTAATTCTATTTAATAAATTCTGTTTATTTTTGAAACTATGAGTCTGACCTGATGTTAAACTTTGGTAAACAGGCTAGAGAAAATCTGTTAAGTATCAATATCAAGAACTTCCATTCAAAATGTTAATACTCAGTTTTATATATTTTACTAGAATTAGATTAAAATTAAAAGTAAAAAATGGGGGGGCACCTGGCTGCCTCAGTCAGTAGAGCATGTGACTCTTAATCTTAGGTTTGTGACTTTGAGCCCCACATTGACTGTAGAGATTACTTAAAAATAAAATCTTTTAAGAAAAGTGAAGAATTTGAAAAGATTGCTCAGGAATTCTTTCATACTTTCATATTAATGGTTTTATTAGCCTTCTGTAGGCTCTGGGTTAGCCTTCTGTACCTGTTTCCCAAGTTGGCTCAAAAATAGTATTCTTGGTCTTGATACTTCTGTGATATCTGATGAAATTGCAGATGAAAAGGAAAAAATATTGTGAGAAACAGGGGCCTTTTTTGTTGCTCTGAAGAGTCCCATGAAGTTGGTTACAGGAGGTATTAAAGTCAAAGAATCTCTTGGTTGAATTTTAGGTTTTAATTTTCTTCGATGCTCTTTCCCTAGAAATTAGAGAGCCACAATTAAATGTCTTTCTTAAGCCCAAGAGCCCTAGATATAGTCTCATTGCCTTTGGTTCTGTATAGTTGTATTTTCTTCAGATCACTAAAACATACTAAGAGAATGGATCCATAACTTCCAGACTTTCAGATGTCAGCAAAAATTTGTGGGGCTAATATATGGTTGTCAGCTTTTTATTATGCCAAGTTGAGACTAATAAAAGAACAAATGCCAAGGTCATTTGTAAAAGTAGGGATATCTTAATACCCAAAAGAAAGTGTAAAAGGTACTATCTCAAAATGACATGTTTTATATTGAATGAAACTAACTTTTTTAGAAACTTGCTATATTGTCCTTATTTTTTCTTATATTACCATAAACCTATGAAAACATTATTATACCATTAGTGGTACACAGATTGCTATTTAGAAACCAATATTAAAAAACAAAACAAGAAAACAGTATTAAAGAAAAAAATGGGACTGACTTTATTTCTTTGTGTAAATTAACTCTGACAGGGTGCCTGGGTGGCTCAGTGGGTTAAGCCTCTGCTTTCAGCTCAGGTCATGATCTCAGGGTCCTGGGATCGAGTCCCGCGTCAGGCTCTCTGCTCAGCAGGAAGCCTGCTTCCCCCCCGCCTCCCGCCTGCCTCTCTGCCTACTTGGGGTCTGTCTCTCTCTCTCTCTCTCTCTCTGTGTCAAACAAATAAAATCTTGTTTAAAAATAGATAAATTAACTCTGACACGAAAGAAGCTATACAAAAAATATTCTTCTACTCATAACATTCATATATATAGCCTCCTGCACAAACCTAGCTTTCCTGAGAGACTCCCTGAATGAGTGAACTTCTCTCCCTTTTTTCACTCCCTTTCCATATGTGACTCTTAAAACAGATCCTGGCTTTGGAATGGTTCTATCCTTGGTTTTGGCGATAGGGTAATATACCAAGTAAGACTGATACTGGTCCTACACTAAACACACGTGAATAAGCGCTAAGCATATAAATTAAGTCAAAAAATAATTTATTTTCCCTATTACATGTCTGATAGGAATTGATGGGTAACCTTATAAGATCTGGACTCTGATCTTGCAGGCCTAAAATCACTCAGCCAACATCTACCAAATACGTATAAAACAGTAGTGTATCTGTGGAAAAAATGTGGTCTCTACCTTAAGGACTTACAGACAAGTTGTACATGGAACAACAGAATAGCAAGATCGTAATTTAAGCCACACTTACATGTTTCAGTAATGACCTATTTCTATGCATGGCTTATAAGAAAAAACTAAGAGGGATTTCTGACAAGTGATATGGTAGGGAAGGCCTTAAAAGAAATGATTAACATAGTCTTTTAAATAGGAAGATATTTTAAGTATACAGAACGGCAAAAGCAGAGTTTACAGGTAAATTTGGGGGGGGGGTAACCTCTACATTTTGAATTTTTAGAAATGAAACAGAACTGTAAGGTTTCAGGGCTAGACATTACCTCAGAGACCAAAGAAAAATCAATTACCTTTTTTAAAGACAGGAATTATGGATGGTCCTCCATTTTTCTCTAGACTAAAAGGAAAACATGTTGATCACAAAAATTTTCAAAGCAATGGTTTACCAATGTTTCAAGCCAAAGAATAACAAGGTGTACCTAGTTAATATGGTGTGTGTCTTGGGGGTGGGTGGGTGGCTTTTAAAAGCAGTATTATTTTAAATCATCATCCTGTACACGTAACATAAAATAGTTACAGAATTTCCCTCGTAATAAAATTTAAGTCTCGCTTAAAGTTAATATATTAAAGGTGGTTATCTCAAATGTGTAGCTGGTTAATTTGATGAGGAACATCTGCTGTTGGCCACATTAGTGAGGCATAGATTTCAGTCTGTCCATATGCCACCTTCGTGGCCAAAGGGTAGCATGGAACTAGCTGGCATTTAGGCTGAATGCTTTCATACAGGGTCAGTTAACACCAGGAAAATTATGTCTCTCTCCATACTTCAAAATTTGTGTATCCAGGGATTCTTCTAATCTGCTGTTCTGGGAGCTGAATAGGGGCATGGGAGTAAAGAAATGGTATATACGCCGAGAACATGCTATCATGACCCCAGCCACAATCCGCATACTTGCCAGGAGCAGTATCAAGGAACATTTCACGGAAGGGTTTGGTATCCATGCCAAAGTTTCCAAACATGTCTCAATAATATTTTAGCACGTTTCCCATAGTTTCATTTAATCGATGAATGGTTATGAAAATTAAAGGGAATAGTCCATGTAAATACTCTATGAGTTCATAATACTACTAGTTATGGGAGTAATTATTATTTACTTAACAGTTCCACCTCACCTGGTAACCATTCTTATAAATGTAGTGAGCACTGGTCACTGCTTTCAGTCCTAAAAGTTGAGTGTTCACAGTTCCAGGGGCTGCCATTCACCCCGGCCACTGTAGCTTTGTGTAGTTAGTACACCTGTTCTCCAGCAGAGAACAGTAGTGTGTCCTGACGAAGGGGTATCTCTCTGATTCCTGAAAAGTTGCCACATGGGCTAGTTGTGGGAGTAATTGTGTAAAATAATACTTCCCGTTATTTATCCTAAATTAATTTTTTAAACCAATAAATATTTTTTAACACTGTCAGTTACAGGAATTTAGATTTCCCTGTCTTATTATATAAAATAAGGTAATCAGTTTTGCATCTTTGGGTTTTCCAAGAATTAAAATGAAGATGTACTCATTTTTCTCCATACTGAAAATTGATTAATGGAACCATGATACAATATTGGATCCTATTCTCTACTATTATCGTAGAGTTAATACTGTATCTTGAGTAGTTCTGTTTCCTACACAAATAGTGCAATTGCAGAGAAAACTTGTAATTCAGCTACATCGACTAAAGAAAATATGCCCATTCTAAGCAGATTCTCCTCTCTGTTTGCAGAAACTTAAGCTCTGATGAAACTCCAGCACTGAAGCAAAATCCTGTGGATAAATTAATGCCCATCAGCCTTCGCCATAACTGCAGGCACTGCATCTGATTTAGCCCTGTTTCTACCCTGGGAGTCTGGCCTAGCTTTGAATGAAATTCAAAGGTCTTTTAAACCTTTTTTGATGATGCCAAAGTCATGGTGGTATTCCTGGTTGGCTCAGGACTCTCAAGTAATATCCCAGAAGTGGTTTTCCAGATCAGACTTGGAAGCGACCCCAGAAACCCCAGAAAGTTTTTCTGAAACATGAATAACTTGGCCAAATGGGATCCCCAAGATTGCCTCCACAGGTAGTTTTGTTGCTAAATCAGAATTAAAACGGGCTTTGGTAGTGGACATTTAGGGTGAGTTTTCTCTCTTGGTGTTCATTCACGCCAGGAATAGCTCCCCTTGTTTGATCTCCCTTAAGCTTTCTTACAGGTTCTTCTATCCGTAATCTCACTACTGCAACTTCACAGATACGGGCACAATACCTTAAGGAAGGAAGTCCCACTCGTTGCTGCATTTGAAATTCCTTTAAAAAAGCTGGGTTGATACTTGCATCTCTGTTGATATTATTTGTTATGCGGAGGAACTGGTTAGGCTTCGCTCTGCACTCCTTTAGCAGGATGCGGGAAGCGTTCGCGTTGTAAGTTAAGTAGCCGAGCGCGCAGGAGCACGCTGTGCGCACCTAAATGGAGCAGCGAGTCAGTCCCTTCGTTGAGCTTTACTCCTGAACTATCGGACAGATGTTCTCACTGCACAGCTCAGTAGCTCTGTAGCCATGCCCAGCAAACATGGACGTCCACCCATGGCAATGTACAGATGGAAGCAGAACAGCCATATTTTTAGAGAAAGCTGTCAACTGCCGTTGGTTTCTGGTACTTGTTCTCAGTCCTGACTGCGTCTTAGAATCACCAGCAGTTAAAAAAGAAAAAAGAAAAAAAGCCCACCAACTGTCTTTTGGTTAGAATCTGGGCATTCACATGGTCTTTATTTTTTTTTTTTTTTTTTTTTTTTTTTAAAGATTTTATTTATTTATTTGACAGACAGAGATCACAAGTAGGCAGAGAGGCAGGCAGAGAGAGAGGAAGAAGCAGGCTCCCCGCTGAGCAGAGAGCCCGATGCGGGGCTCGATCCCCGGACCCTGGGATCATGACCTGAGCCGAAAGCAGAGGCTTTAACCCACTGAGCCACCCAGGCGCCCCGGTCTTTAAAAGCGCCAGAGGCAACTCCAGTGTGCGGCAGAGTAAGGACCATTGAGTTGGAACTAAGGGTCTCAGTCTTGATTGTGCATTGGAATCCCCTTGATAGTTCCTAAAATTACTCAGTGCCTGGTTCCACCCCTAGAAACTCTTAATTATTTTGGCTGCAGCCTGGACACTAGAATTCTTCAAAACTGCTCAGTAGCTTGTAATAGGAAACCAGGCAAGAGACTAGAGGATAAAAATAAGGTAAAAACAACAACAACAACAACAAAACACACTCAAGAAAGCAATTCATTTTCTCACTGGCAAAAACTAATTATCAGTCACAGGACTGCAGAAAAAAATATCCTCTGCCCGTGATCCGGAAGTAATCAGGTTGTTCATAAGATTAAAGTATATTCCTGGGAAGTTCTTAGAAAATCTGTTAGTGGTGGCCTAAGAAATGTCATAGAATGAACATAAGCCAGAGTTGATATTCTAGTTTCTACACTGGCATGTGACTGCTGCGTATGCCCGTATATCTTCCATACCTTGAACTGTGGCTCTCAGTGTATGGTCCCAATACCATTTCTAACCAGCTTCTAGGAGCTGGTTAGAAATGCCCATTTTAGGGGCCGCCTGGGTGGCTCAGCTGGTTAAGCAGCTGCCTTCGGCTCAGGTCATGATCCCAGCATCCTGGGATGGAGTCCCACATCGGGCTCCTTGCTCATCCGGGAGCCTGCTTCTCCTTCTGCCTCTGCCTGCCATTCTGTCTGCCTGTGCTCGCTCTCTCTCCCTCTCTCTCTCTGACAAATAAATAAATAAAATCTTTAAAAAAAAATGCCCATTTTAGGGCCTAAACCAGATGTATTCAGTAAGAAATGCTGGGAATGGAGCCCAGGAATCTATGGTGTAACAATAGATTCCAGTGATTCCTGCGTACCCTAAAGTTGGAGGAACACTGCCTCACACCTGGGGGAGGGGGCAGGGGAATCTCAGAGGCAGACCACGACTCTGGCCTTCTTCATACTGTCACCTCTGATCCTGCTTGGCAGATAAAACTGTCCAGTGGATCCCACTTTCACGCATTCCAAATAATCACAGAAATGACTTAGATCACAAAAACTGCTTAGTTACTAAGTTAATAAGTTAGTCACCAGTTTTTGTGAGATATTTTATAAATATTTTAATTACAAACTTCTATATCATCAGTGTACTTAGTTGTATATTGAGTCTTAAGTACTGAAGTTAAAACAAATAGGCACATTTTATATGAACCAGAATTATGGATGGCAGATGTGGTGCTAGAAAAATCTAATTTTGAGTAAGTGACATGAACTGTTATATAACATAGTCAGCCCGTAGAGAAAGTAGCACACAAATATGAGAGCAATTACATTTTTAGAATATTCAGTTATACAATTGGTTTTGTTTTTACCTCTTCTTTTCCAGAATACAAATGATAGCAGAGCTGTTGGATTGTCCCTAATGTGGTAAATGCTTCTAGAATAGCAGCTCTAGAATGAGCCAGGCTAGCTATTAAATTCCCTGAAAATTAAACAAGAAAAAAATGTTTGTGTTATTTAATTGATATAAACTGATATACTGTACTTTTGTTCATTTGCACATATTATTAAAAGGGATGAGTCACAAGACATCTCTAATGAAGAAGGACTGAGAAAAAGCATGTATATATTAAATGTGGAGTTCTTTCCCCAAAATTATGATTTGGTTTTCTGTCACAAACAGTAAAAGTTAATTAGCTTTATTTAAAAGTAGGGAGTTTTGAAAATCGGAGTTTTTCTTTCCTGTGGCTTCAGAATATATTCTGTTTTGAGCTTTTGTGTTTTTTTAGTGACCGTGAACCTGATGTTGGAACTACCATAAAAAAAATTCAGTTTGTCCTTTTTGCAATTCAGATCACTCTGAGTTAAGAGCTTAATGGTATTTTGAACCCAAACAATGTATTACTTAAATTTAAAATTTTTGATGTTTTTGCCATAAAAAGAAATGTTTGGAGATTGAAAATAATAAAGTAATTCAGTAATTAAATAAATATGCAACTACCAGTTTAAAACTCTTTCATTCAAATGTGTGTTTTATTTTTAGAGCTTTCATGTGGTATTTTTTCACAGTATTGTTGCTGTGGTGGGAATAAGTGCATCACAGATTTTAAAATATAAATGTGGATGGTGCTCTATGGAGGCATTCACTTAGGTTTTGTTCTTGTTTTTTTTTGTTTTTTTTTTTTTGTTTTTTTTTTTGTTTTTTTGCATTCTTTATAAACCAAGACCTTTGTATTTATTGTTTCAGGATGGGGAGGGATGGCTTGTGTGGCTTAAAGCAAAAAATGTCTAAAAATAACCTTTTTTTTTTCCTCAGTCGTATATTTTTAAAAGCCTGTGAACATAGAAGGCACTGTTCCAGGTGAAAGGGGGAGAGGGAGAGAGGGTTCTTTAAAGATGGGGAGTAAGGAATGGAGGCAGCGGAGGCAGGTAGAGGATCCAAGATGAAGGAGGACACACAAGGGGCAGGAGCTGCGTGTGGAGAGCGGTTCTGTGGTGGACACAGGAAAACTGGACCCTTGGCAACAGAAATCTAGTCTTTGTGAAACTTCTGTGCCTCTGGAGCTATGTCTGGGAACCTTGTCAACTTAGACATCTGGCACAACATTTATTTTACATTATATCCGAGGCCCGAATATCCTGCTTTGCTTGGGATACCCTGGACAGGCACGTCACTCTGGAGATGCAAGTGACTGTGATGCTGGAGGGCAGAGAAAGCCCAGAAATTTTTGAGATTCAGTTCCCAGCCTGAGAAAATTAATATTTGAAGGATAGTATAACATAGTATTTCTTGCACACAAGAGTTTGTGCAGTAAAATTTAAAACCACGATGATTGTTTTTCAGAGTCACAGAATTACTATGACTTGAATTAAGAATGCTATTTAAGTGCTCGCTTCGGCAGCACATATACTAAAATTGGAACGATACAGAGAAGATTAGCATGGCCCCTGCGCAAGGATGACACGCAAATTCGTGAAGCGTTCCATATTAAAAAAAAAAAAAAAAGAATGCTATTTAAATAAGAATGTATTTAATAATTTAAACATGTTTTTTTCCTAGCTAGTTTCCTTCAGAAAGTTTTCATTTGCATGAATTTTCCTTCCATGCCAAGTAAAAATATAAGTGTAGCGGCAAGTGTAACTTCCTTTCCTACCTTCAGTGATCCATTTCAGTTAAAAAACAAAGACCTTATTTATTTTTCGGTAGTAGTCATTTCATATGGTCATCATTCTGATACTGTTTCATGTTGTGTTGAGAGTGATAAGTCAATTACCTGATTATTCATCTCGAAAATTAGCTCTAGAGTAGATATAGTTACACGGTTAGCATTAAGTGTGCCAAGAACTCTGCTGGACTATTTTGCTTTGCTATATCGCATAGCAACATAAGAAACTCTTGAATGTTAGCAAAATGTGAAGTTGATCAAAAGAAAACCAGACACAGGAATAGCGTATAAATCTGCCATTACTATTATAAATCAGTGTGTAAATTTTCTGGTTAGTAGCTCAGAGTTGGATTCTCATTTTATATTTGCCAAAAAATAATTAGGGGATTGAAAAGGTAACTAGGAAATCAAAAACGCCACGGTGAGAGTTGCCTGGCTTCTGTTGGGGTGCAGAGTAGACTCCCACTGTCCCATGTAGACTTTGTGTGGAGTTGCATGTAGACATACACCAGTTCATCCTATTATTGTTCAGATTACAAAAAAATTTTTTTGAAAACAGTCTCATGCAGGTGTAGTTTTATGTAACCACCTTCCAGTTCTTTCTTACCTGTCAAGATAATAGTAGTGGAATGAACTGAATACAGACTATCAACTAAAATAGTAACACCTCTTGCAGACAAAGTAATATGGTCCACATCTATAATGACTTTAGCTAAGATAATAATCTGAAAACAAAAGAGAAGCATTAAATCACCGAATGTTTTCTACTCTGCTCCTCTAATTAAGCTTTTTGTTCTTTGGTACTTCTCAGGAAGGTAAGGGGAGTGACTTGAAATGGTCCAGTACAAGAAAAGCAAGTGGCAAGGGTTTGAGTCAGAGTAGTTTTCACTGTCTGATCAACTGTGGTGAACATGGCAGGCCAGTGTGTTCTTCCTACAATATTTGCAGCTTTTGCATCCTTGAAGTATGGTTTCATAGAAAATAGTTCTCCTAAAGGTCACTGGATAGAAAAAGAAGCCCCCAGATACATCCAGGTGTCATAGGTTGAAGAATCCGTGTGATCAGCTAAAGGTCTCCAGTTAGAAAATTTGTCTGGTACACTACCGTGATTCTCTGCCTGTAACAAGGGGATGATGAAAATGATACTATCTGCCCACCAGCCTGACGGTGGTTATAAGGATCAGAAAAGGTACAGAGGCAAAAAGTGCCTTGTAACTTGTAACACTGTAGATAAATGAGGAATCCTCATAAATAATGGAGTTTCTATGAGGTGGAAGGGGCTGGTGTAAAAAATACCGTGTATTTTACAAATTGGTAAATGTTTTCCAGATCGAAATTTTTTCTCATTTTTTAAGTTTTGACTAGAAAGACTAATTTATTGATTTGAAGTTTGAATTGCCAGTTTTATACCTGAAATGCTGCCATTGCCTTCTCAGTTTCAACTGTTGATTCAAGAAAGGGTTCAAAGATTGATATGGTCATTATTCCACTTTCCAAAATTAAGTATTGTTGAAGGCGATTGTTGAAGGCAAAAAGGGATAATGCATAGCCCGCCCTTAAACAGATATCCTGCACATAAGAGAAACATGCATTATCTTTAACTCAGTTCATCTATTATGTTACTCAAGGTAATGAATTTTGAATTCTTGGCTGTCTAAATATATTGCATTCTTATCTTTGGGAGTAAAATTTGACATTATTGGGGAAAATAGGTAGTTGAGTTAACCCAGAATGTTATTGAACAGATAAAATAGAGAAGTAGGTTGTGGTATCAGAGAGAAGAGAAGTAATTTTAATTTTCAGAGGGAAAGTTAGGTTAATGATTATGCAAATAAATACCTAAGTAGTAAGGAAATTCCATAATTTCATTAACCCTCAACTTTTTTGTTTTAACATATTTTTATTTTTATTTTCAACATTTCAAAGTAGACTTGATAAAACTTCCCTTGTTCTAGCATGCTATATATTACATTTTATGCATGCTGGGATGATCTCTGTCATCTCTTAAAATAAGTTCATTTGTAAAATTCTGTACTGTATCCTGAGGGGAAATAAAAAGAAAGAAGATTTAAAAATCACATTTTAGCATTCTGGGATTTGGCAAACAGCAAAAGCCAATTCTTATTTACTTGGCAAAGATGAACAAATACAGTAGATCTGCCAGAAAGCCCAAAAAGAATTTTATCACTAAGTCTTATTTTTAGTATTTTGTTTGAACAGTATAGTACAGAAAGAGCCATTAATGAAGTGAGTTTTCTTCTGCCACTGTTAATTATGTAAAAGTGCTATATGTATGTACCAAAATATTTACCAATAAAATTATACGATGCCTGAGATTTGCTTCAAAAGTAATATAAGACAAGGGGCTCCTGGGTTTCTCAGTCAGTTGGGCATCTGACTCTTGGTTTTGGCTTAGGTCATGATCTCGATACTGTGAGATCCAGCCCCCCAGTGGTTCCACACTCAGCAGAGTCGGCTTGAGATTCTCTCCCTCCGCCCCTCCCCCAACTCATGCATCTGCACGCTTTCTCTATCTCTCGCATAAATAAACCTTTAAAAAATAATAACTTGGGAAGATGAAGTGGGTATATAGGTATAATAAGATTGGCCAGGATTGATAATTGCAGAAGTTGGGTCATAGAAATAAATATTTAAGTTCATTATGCTACTCTTCTGCATATGTTTGAAATGTTCCATAAAAAAAATTATGTACACATAAGGAGCCACCTGGCCATAAAGGAAGAAAAAGGGTATTTTTAGGAATTCACAAAAGAATAGGGTCCAGTAAGTGAAGCAGGTGGGAACAGGCGGGGAAGAAAAGGGGAGTGAGTCGGAGGAGAATTATTAGTCAAGAAAAAGGAGAAGGGTGTCCCTGAGGAATAGGGTGATGAGAATAAAGTGTGAAATGAACGGAGAGAAGAAAGGTGGCTTAGAAAGTTAGATCCAAATTCAGTCTCCTTACACACTGCTCATATTATTCCAGCAGCCCATCACCACTTTTCATATACTACAGTAGAATACAATTCTTGATTAAAAAAAATAATAATGCAGTGAGTTCATTTCTCCTCTTTTAGCCCTCCTTTCTTCCTCCCAATTCCCCCAGAACCAAACTGACAGAGATAGTTAGCAATTTTCTTCCCTGATTGCTAAATGCACTGCAGACAACAAAAGTTCTCAAAATTCTCTGGGGTTGGTGCTGTTCAAAGTGTGGCCCATGGACCAGTGATAGTCCACAAAATGGTTGACAACAGGATTACAGAAACTGGGAATTAGCATCTAAAAGGAATAGCTTTGGGACTCCTGGGTGGCTCAGTCCATTAAGCCTCTGCCTCCAGCTCAGGTCATGCATGATCCCACGGTTCTGGGATCAAGCCCAGCATTGGGCTCCTAGCTCAGCAGGGAGCCTCTTCCCCCTCTGCCGGCCACTCCCCCTGCTTGTGCATGCTCTCTCTCTCTCTGACAAATAAATAAATAAAAATCTTAAAAAATAAAGGAACAGCTCTTCCTTATAGTTAAATACTAATTAATAAATATACAAAGATGTTTATAGCAGCATTATCAACAATCACCAAATTATGGAAAGAGCCCAGATGTCCATTTAACTGATGAACGGATGAAGAAGATATGGTATATATTTACAGTGGACTATTATTCGGCCATAAAAAATGAAATCTTGCCATTTGCAATCGTGGTTGGAGCTAGAGTGTATTATGCTAAGTGAAGTAAGTCAGAGAAAGATAAATACCATATTATTTCACTCATATGTGGAATTTAAGAAACAAAACAAACAAATGGGAAGTGGGGGAAAAGAAGAAAACCACAAAGCAGACTTTGAACTAGAGAGAACAAACTGGTGGTTGCCAGAGGGCAGGGGATGGGATGATGGGGTCAATGGGCGATCAGGACCAAGGAAGGCACTTGTGATGAGCACCAGGTGTCATTTATAAGTGTTGAATCATTAAATGGTACCCCTGAAACTAATATTATACTGTATGAACTAACTGGAATTTAAATAAAACTTGATTTTTTAAAAAAAGAATTTTTTAAAAAATTGCCATTAGGCAAATAAAACATGTAATCATTGTTGCATCCGTGGATGCTAAAAAAAGTGCATGCAAAACAGAATTATTTGCATTGGCTCAAAGTGTCTCACCTCAAGAAACCTGTTAATTAAAAGAGGCAAGTACAGTGACTTGACAGTGGAGAAATATGACAGATAGTACTTTAACCAAGTACCCAGAGTTAGCACTGCCTGTTATAAGACGTAACAGCAGCATGTACCTCCCAAAAATAATGCACTGGGCAGGTGAGTAGAGAAGACCACATCAGGGGCGCCTGGGTGGCTCAGGGGGTTAAGCCTCTGCCTTTGGCTCAGGTCATGATCTCAGGGTCCTGGGATCAAGCCCCACATCGGGCTCTCTGCTCAGCAGGGAGCCTGCTTCCCCACCCCCCCACTTGTGATCTCTCTTTCTCTCTCTCTCTCTCTAATAAATAAATAAAATCTTAACAAAAAAAGAAGACCACATCATTTCTGTGGTATTCTTGCCAAAATGCACCACCTCAATTTAATCATGAGAAAACATCAGCTAATTCAAATTGAGGGACATTCTACAAACTAACTGGTGTAAACTCACAAAAAATGTCAAAATCATGGAAGACATGTAAAAATCATGAAAGACAAAGGACAGTTTCACAGATTGAAGGAAACTAAAGGGACGTAACAGCTAGATGTAATAGGAGATCCTGGATTGGATTTTGGAAGAGAAAAAGGACATTAGTGAGAAAATTGGCAAAACTAGATAAAATTTGCAGATGAGTTAATTACTTGGTATCATTCTTGATTTCCTTATTGATATCCAGGAAAGTTGGATAAAGGATATGCTAGAATACTCCATACTATTTTTGCAAAATTTTGGAAAACCTAAAATTACCTCAAAATTTAAAGTTTTTGGGTTTTTTTGGTTATTTTTTATTATTATGATCAGTTAGCCAACATATAGTACATCATTAGTTTTTGATGTAGTTTTTTTTGTTTCTTTGTTTTGAATTATCCTGCCCATAACAGATTGCTGGGGAAAAGCTTTCCTTCATCACAAATAGTTTGAGAAGCTACCACTCTGGAATATTGGGTAAGAAATGGATGATTGAAAGTTGAAAGGTCATAAAATTAGGGAAAAGTTTTAACACATCCAGGGCAGAAAAGATTTATTTGCTCTTTGAACATAAAATTGCTACATTTCAAAGAAGAAATATGACAACTATGAAAAATATGGAACAGTATTATTTCATCATTACAAACTAATGACCTACCAAAGAGATTTTACTTTCTTATGTAATATAGTTAAGTATTGCTGTGAAACATTTATAATTTCACAATGGGTCTAAAAACCTTTCCACACGAGCTCTAACATTTTATAAAGATAGTACCTTATCTGGTGAGTGAAGAAGTTGAAGGACATCGGCATACCTAAATCCTTCGTTTTCTTGTAATTCGTTCTGTAACAGATCATTCCTTAGGACAATGCATGCCAAGGTAAATGCCACTTCAACCTAAATAGGTGGTTTTCAGAAATTATTTTTCACTCATGGTTTATCAAATGACATATTTCATTATACAGACTTTCATATGGGATATACTTATTCAAAGATAATATATAATTCATTGATTCCAGTTCTCTAATATTTATTTTTTCAGTCCTCTAATATTTAGAGGTAGGTATTTATAATGTTTGGAGGAACGTCCCTTATAATTTTTTTTAAAGATTTTATTTATTTATTTGACAGAGATCATAGGTAGACAGAGAGAGAGAGAGGGGAAGCAGGCTCCCCGCTGAGCAGAGAGCCCGATGCGGGGCTCGATCCCAGGATGCTGGGATCACAACCTGAGCCGAAAGCAGAGGCTTTAACCCACTGAGCCACCCAGGCGCCCCTGTCCCTTATAATTTTTAACAGCTAGGAAAATATCCTCCTCCTGTGTGCTGTCGGCACAACCACACGACTCCGCTGGGGAGCATGGGAGAAGGGAGGAGGTATTATCTTAAGTGCATAGTTGTATCCCTTCCACATGTAAAAAAATTTTTTTTAATTTCCTGGCATGGGGATAAAAGCTGTTTTGAACCGCTTGTTAGCTAGTGACCATTGAGTTGGAAGGCTTCCATGGAATGCCTCTGAATTAAAGCACTGAGGAGCAGTCCTGAGAAATACTGTATTTCAGGAGTCATCTGACGCACACTCTGAAGACTTTTCAGAGGATGTAAACAAACCTCATCTATTGTTGGGACTCGACAGATAATGTTCTTTAAGTATTATGTTATGCGTTTCTACGAAGAACATTATGAATTTGAAAAGCATGATTATTATTACAAAACTTTGTTTACTATAGAATCATATTTGAAGAAAAGTATTGGAATATATTTGTGTTCTGTTTTTAACAAGTTAAAGATCTCATTGAAAACATATACCGAAATACAGATGGACGCAATTGAAGTAAACCGTTTTTGCCATGAAATTGCGTGTTTTAAAATAAAAATGTATTTTTATGTGGCATTTTCCATAGTCGTATGAAATTTATTTGTACTTTGAAAGTCAGCATAGGTTTTACATATAATTCAGCCCAAAAATTGCTAGTATAGGCTCCTTCCTTTTTCCCCCCCAATCAACTCCTATGAAAGAATATTCTCTCCCATAGCCAGAAAAGCTGCATAACTTAGAGCATCTTTTCTCATAATACATTCCTTAAAAGAAATAATACTGTATTTACTTACATATTTCTGTTTTCTCATTTCTGACAGAACTCATACCCAATTTTGAAGAGAAAATATATTTTTTGGTCTTATAATTTCCTGCCTGGCTAACTCTAGATGTCCTAAATTTCCAAAGCTTTGGTAGAGGATTTGAATAGATGTGAGCATCATTTTATTAAAGGCAGTTTACTAGAAGTAAATAGAAGAGTGAATGACTCTTAAACAACTCATCAGTTATTTATATAAGAAAACTATTGTTGCAGGGCAACACAGACTGCTTGGTAGAAGGTAAAGCTATTTTAGTGGTGCAATACTATAGGAATCACTTATATCTGAGAAATTTCGCTACATAAATCACACACATCCTCATTATCCCCACCGTTTTAGCAACCAGTATCCGAAAAAGAAGGGAAGAAATTCTGTGAATAATCAGATATCTGAAGAATAAAGCTTATTTGATGAGTAAAGACGCAAGACTTAATTATTTGAAAATTAATATTTTAATAAAATTTACTATTTTTATAGCAACTTTTTAATTTAAAACTTCTAGAATTTTGTTTAAAATGTTAAATTTTTAATTATACTTGTGAATTTACATAAATATATAAATTATTCTCAAAAAGTCCTATTTCTGTTAATTTTTACTACATCAGAAAAAAAACCCTTAATCAGAAAAAACCTTAAAACTTTTTATATACCTTGATGTTAGGAGAAGGGTGATTTCTCAGTAGTTGAATAAGTACTGGAAAGGCATTTTCCTCTACAACAAATTGTTGACTGATAGGATTACTTGTATGGGCGACACCTATAAGAATATACATATCAGTAAGAATATTTCTTTCCATCTTGGAAATGATAAAGTCAAACACAGATTGGTATGTTGGGTTAAGTTTTCTAGCATAATATGGTTAATAAATTACAAAAGGAAACACCATATTTCCGGGTATTTACCAAAAAGATACAAATGTAGTCCAAAAGGGAACCTGCCCCCCAATGTTTATAGCAGCATGTCCACAATAGCCTAACTATGGAAAGAGCCCAGATGTCCATCAGCAGATGAATGGTTAAAGAAGATGTGGTAGATATATACAATGGAATATTACACAGCCATCAGAAAATGAAATCTTGCCATTTGCAACTAGAACTAGAGGGTATTATGCAAAGTGAATTAAGTTAACCAGAGAAAGACAATTATATCATATGATCTCATTGATATGTGGAATTAAGAAACAAGGCAGAGGATCATAGAGGAAGAGAGGGAAAATGAAACAAGATGAAACCAGAGAGGGGGACAAACCACAGAGACTTTTAATCTTAGGAAACAAACTGAGGATTGCTGGAGGGAGGATAGGGTAACTGGGTGATAGACACTGGGGAGGGTATGTTTTGCAATGAGTACTGGGTATTATATAAGACCGATGAGTCACAGGCCTGTACCCCCTGAAACAAATAATACATTATATATTAATTAATTGAATTTAAATTAAAAATAAGGAAATGCTATATCAACAGTATTTTACCTGAATTAATTTTTTAAAAAGCAAAATGAATAAACATGGAAAAATTACTATTAGAAGTGTGGATGTTTTCTACTAGTCACAAAACCAAGGAATGAAAAATGTTAAACTATCAAAGAATAATAATATAAAAACTATCATTTACTGAAGATTTATTACTTGCAAGGTACTTAAGCTTATAGTTGCTATTGTATTCCATAAAAAAGCATTTTTATAAAAATGACTAGAGTAAGTCACCTGGTTAAAATTTCTAGATTCCTTAAATACACATACTAAAAAGATAATCTCACTGTCTCCTTTTATAGCATAATACTTTAAATTATAGGCCAATCTCAGTTTAAAAACTTCTCATCTCTATCTAGTGGATATACAAATAATTTGAATTTTGTTGTTTTGCTAACAAATACCACAACATACACAGCAGGTTTATATACTTAAATATAAATACAATATCAGACCTCTCTCTGAACAATGGAGAGAAGTCACTTATCATCTGGGGAAGTTTGAAGGAACTGGAAGAAATAGGAGCAAAGGACATGTTTGTTTCCTCCTCCCCAACCCCCACACTGGCCACCTAGGGATGTACAGACATTGACTACATGAATATTCTTGATTCAGCTGGCAGGTCTTGAATGCCTAACTCATCAGGAACTGAGGTAAAAAGTAGAGTTAAAAAGAGAAATTAGAGGGTGCCTGGGTGGTTCAGTCAGTTAAGTGTGTGAATCTTCATCTCAGTTCAGGTCTTAATCTCAGGGTCATGAGTTCAAGCCCTGCATTGGGCTCCACATTGGGCATGGAGCCTACTTAAAAAAAAAATGGAAAAGAGGAATTAGAGTCTCTGCCTCCAAGGTGTTTATATTCTACAGGGGAAGCAACTATTTAAATACATGATTTCAGTACATGCAATGGGTGCTTTAACAAAGATACAAAAAATACACTTGAAGCACAGAAAAGGGATTGCTCATCTCAGAGTAAGTGGAAATGGAGTAAACAGGGAGGTTTTGAAGAGTGAAGGTGCTAACGTAGGTTCCCCCCCACAATGAATATTTTTAATAATCATGATTATGATAACGATGATGGTAGTGTGATAAGACGAATACCATCCCATCTCTAACTGAATCTTCACATGTTAATAATGGGATGAAACTCCATTAGGTTAGGAAAAGAACCACTACGGGCAGTAGGCTGAACCATTCTCAGAGCTCACACAGCGCTAGGAATGGTTTATGCTCTGTGGCCAGAGTTCAGATTCCTCATAATTCAGGGGATCATATAAGGAATTAAGTCCTTGGAACGATATCATCTTAATAGTGGAGTTAAGTCAGTTCCAGAGTGAAAGCTGCTCTAGAATTTTGCTAATAAAGCTTGAAAGCTAGCTGCAAATGGAGCAAACTGATCCCAGGTAAGATAACTGCACGCCAGAACAAAGCCCAACTCCCTTTAAAGGAAAGCCAAAAATTCAGCATCTATCAGTTTGCAATCACAATGTCCAGCATTCAATCAAAACTTATTATGCACAATTTTAAAATAGAAAATACCTAAGATAAAATATATACAAGAATTGTGTATTGGAAACTAGGAATCATTGCTGATTGATATTAAAGAAGACCTAAACAAGTAGAGAGACATACAGTTCATAGATTGGAAGTCTTAATATTATGGAGATGCCTGTTCTCCACAAATTTATTTATAGATTTCATGCAATTCCAATAAAAATAATAGAACTTTTTCATAAATTGACAGATTGATTTTTTTAAATTATATGGAATGACAAAGGACCTAGAGTAGCCAAAACAACTTTGAAAAAGAATAGCAACGTTGAAGGACTTACACTTCCTGCCTCCACGATTTACTGTAAACTTTCAATAATTAAGACAGTGAGTATAACATAAAGATAGACAAATGAGTAAATAGAACAGAATAAAAAGTCCAGAAATAACTCAGAAAAATTCAATGGAGGAAAAGATAATCTTTTCAATAAATGGAGCTGAAACAATTGGACAGCCATATCCAAAAAAAAAAAAAAATCTTGGCCATATGCAAAAATTAACTCAAAATGGATCATATGTCTAAATACAGAGAAAAACAGAAAACCTTTGTGATCTTGAGTTTGGCAGATTTCTTAAAGAGGACACAGAACTCATGAACTAAATTTAAAATACCAATAAATTGGACTTCATCAAAATTAAAAACTTTTGCTCTTCAAAAGACCCTGTTACAAAAATGAAAGGACACACTATAGACTGGGAATAAGCAAAACATATATCTAACAAATTATTTGTATCTAGAATATATAAAGAATGCTTACAATTCAATAAGACAACACAATTTAAAAAACGGGCAAAATAGGGGCGCCTGGGTGGCTCAGTGGGTTAAGCCTCTGCCTTCAGCTCAGGTCACGATCTCAGGGTCCTGGGATCAAGCCCCACATCGGGCTCTCTGCTCAGTGGAGAGCCTGCTTCCCCCTCTCTCTCTCCGCCTGCCTCTCTGCCTACTTGTGATCTCTCTCTCTCTGTGTCAAATAAATAAATAAAATCTTTAAAAAAGAAAAAAGTAAAAATAAGGGCAAAATATCTGAACAGACACTTTACCAAAAAGGATATACAAATAGTAACTAAGCACATGAACAGATGTTCTGCATCATTAATCATTAGGGAAATACAAGTTAAAACCATAATGAGATTTACTACATATGCACTCGAATGGCCAAAATCATCGTACTAAGTGTTGGCAAGGATGTGAAGCTGTTGGAACTCTCATACACTGCTAGTAGGAATGCAAAGTAATAGCACAACTTTGAAAAACAGTCTGGCAGTTTCTCTGTAAGTTAAACACACACCTACTCAATGACCCAGGAATCCTTTTTGGTATTTACCCAAGAGAAATGGAAACATCTGTGTCTGTACAAAGACTTACACACAAATGCTCATGGCAGCTTCATGTATAATAGCAGGAAACTGGCAACAATCTAAATGCCCATGAGTGGGCACCTGGATGAACGGGTCATAGTATGTCCGTGTGCATTCGTCAGGCTGGCCAGAGGAACAGCAACAGCGTGTGTATGCATGTAGGGAGGCAGATAATAACTACGGGTACCATAAGTCATAAAATCATCCATCATACCATACAATGGAATACAACTCAGCATTAAAACAGTGAACACATGTGCATAAATATCAAAGTAGCTATGCTGAGTGAAAGCAGCAAGAAAAAGGCATATCTGTAAAATCCAGTTACAGAAAATTCTAGAAAATACACACTAATCTATAGTGATAGAAAACATCAGAGGTTCCCTGGGCATGGAAGTGCAAAGACGGGGGGGATTCCAAAGGCACACAATGAACCCATTTGGGGTGATGGCTATATTCATTTATTTGACCACTGTGATGGTGTCACAGCTGAACGCACATGTTAAAACTCACCAAATTGTATGGTTTAATGTATTTTTATATTTTATTCTATTGTATATTTTATTTAAATATTTTATTGTGGGGCTCCTGGGTGGCTCAGTTGGTTAAGCGTCTCTCTTCAGCTCAGATCATGATCTCAGGGTCCTGGGATCAAGTTCAACGTGGGTCTCCCTGCTCAGCAGGGAGTCTGCATCCCCCCCTCTGCCCCCGCCCCCCATGTGCTTGCGCTTACACGAACATGCTCTCTCTCTGAAATAAAATCTTTAAAAATAAATAAATATTTTATTGTATGTAAACTATTTCAATAGGTCTTTAAAAACCCACATTTAAAATTTTCTGGGCATGCAAAGAAGTAGGAAAATATGATTCATAATCAGGAAAAAATATTGGCCAGTAGAGACCCAGAAATGCTACAGATGCCGGAACTCATTACAGGGACGTTAAAACAGCTATTTTAAATATGTTACATATGTTCAAGAGTGTAGAAGAAAAATGAACATGAAGAGGAAGAAAAAGGGAGGTGTGTGTGTATGTATACCCACTCTAAACCAGTAAATTTGAAATCAAGAGTTTTCCTCCACAATTCTCGTGGAGATCCCCTTGTCTGTGGCAAATGTAGATGGTTTGTAGACAGCTTCGAAGTGAAGTAATGAGAAGAAACTGCATTTGTGCACGGGCACGTACACACACACACACACACACACACACACATACATGGTGTTTTGTATATATGTTGTCATCTATTAGAATTTTAGAAATCTCTATAATCTATACCATAGGCTCTGGCTAAAAAAAGAAACGTTATTTTGTCTGACTGACTGTCTTGGAGCTTTAACGAACTTTGGCAAAGTAGCTTTTTCAAGCAAGGGGAAAAAAAGTCTTTTTGGAACCAATTCCTACATTCTTCATTCAGCTAGACTATTTTTTGAAGAAATACAATCAACTACAAATAAAGATTTTTTTTCTTATGTATAAGAAACAGTCTACAATCAGCTTCATGCATTCATGAAGGTCAGCAAAGAACTCCAATGTTTATTTTTGGTAGCTCAATCACTGACGATTCTATACACTCTGACAGACCTCCCCAAATGTTAATTCCTTTGCAATGAAAGGAACAGCCAGACTTACTGGCCACTTTTTTTTTTTTTTTTAAAGATCTTATTTATTTGAGAGAGAGAGAGAGAGATCACAAGTAGACAGAGAGGCAGGCAGAGAGAGAGGGGGAAGCAGGCTCCGGGCTGAGCAGAGAGCCCGATGCGGGGCTTGATCCCAGGACCCTGAGGTCATGACCTGAGCCAAAGGCAGAGGTTCAACCCACTGAGCCACCCACACTTTTACTCATTAAGGTCTTAGAGAAATAAAAAACAATGATGAGCCTTCCATAGATTGATTATGACTTGGGGCTTTATCAGTGGAGACAGAGAGGAAGGGAAGTATCTCACTGATAATTTAAGAATGGAGAAAAACTTTACAAACCGATACAAATGGACCCCACGGCTCTGATGACACTCAGAAGTGTGCCTTCCGCGATTTTACTAATCCTCAGTAAGCGAACCAACGGAGCGATGCCATTGCCCTCGCAGATCTGGTTCTGATGCATCCTGCTGTCCTTACTTAGGGCTATGACTGCCTCACCTCCTGGTCAAGAAGAGCAAGAAATGTGTCGGCCACTTCAAGGTGCTGCTCCACATGGTGCGGATTTACGCACAGGAAATGACTTACCAACGTACTGCATTTTAGCGGAGGGCGACAAAAGCATGTTTATTATAAAGTTGTATCCGATCTGCTCTGCCATGTACTTCTGCTGTTTCAGGGTTTGTCCCGCCAAGGCCCAGAGGGTTACAGCTCCTTGTTCCTTAACATCTGTTTGAAACGCCTATTAAAAAAAAAAATTCCATTCTTCCAATAAATGCACATTTATTGAACATTATAGGGATGTTTTATAAAATATTCATTCTAAGGGAGCCTGGGTGACTTAGTCAGGTAAGTGTCCAACTCTTGGTTTTGGCTCAGATCATGATCTCAGTGTCATGAGTCGAGCCCCGTGTCAGGCTCCACACCCGGCGCGGGGTCCGCTTGAGCTTCTTCCCTGCCCGCCCCCGCAACAGGCTCGCGCGCTCTCTCTAAAACCAACCAACCAACCAACAAACAAATAAGTAAAATCTTTTAAAAAAAAGTTCATTCAAGAATTCGTTTTAGGGACGCCTGGGTGGCTCAGTCCTTAAGCGTCTGCCTTCAGCTCAGGTCATGATCTCAGGGTCTTGGGATCAAGCCTGGCATTGGGCTCCCTGCTCAGTGGGGAGCCCGCTTCTCCCTCTCACACTACCTCTGCTTGCTTATGTTCCCTCTCTCGCTGTCTCTCTCTGTCAAATAAATAAAATCTTAAAAAAAAAAAAGAGTTGGATTTAGTTTTCTTCTCACTTTACTAAATTCAGTATTGAATACTTTGTCTAAGAAAAATGACAAGTTATCATAAAATTCCTACCTTGAGGAGTTTTAAAAGATATTTACTTAATGATTTTTCCAGAAATGCTCTCTGTATATACGGGTTATAACTAGCCAGTGATTCCACAGCCATTGCTCCCTTCACTTGGACACTAAGTTGTTTCCCTTTAAAAAGAGCCACCAGAGGAGGAATGGCTCCCTCCAGAGCAATAGCGTCCTGAACATCCCTGTTGTCACGGGCAACCTCAGCGATTGTGGCAGAAGATACAGCCTTCAGCACATCTTCAAATGAATTCAAGAAACAGTTAAACAAACCTTTTAAAAATATAAAAATGCAACTTATCATTAGATTCCTTATTAAGAAAATCCAACTTAGAGAGTGTATAGAAAATTTAGAAAATAAGAAAAATAGGAATAAAACTTTCCATATTCTCACCACCCAAATGCAAGTATTTCCTTTAGTCTTATTCACTTTTTAAAGGAAAAGATATATTTAAGTAGTGTTACAGTCATATTTAACATAGTTGTACTATAAGCACAATACCTTACATTTTAATTTACCAGTAAAACATTTTCTCATTCTTTATGAGCATCAGTGTCTCTTAAATGTTCCATTAATGAGTGTATTACATTTCCTTATCCATTCACCTTTTAAAAAAATAGATGTCATTTCCAACTTTTCACTGTGTTAAACAATATTTAGGAGAAATCTTGGCACAAAAGTTATTTTTCTTTCCTGGATTTTCCCTTAGTATATAGAGTCCCAGTAATATAATTAATATATCACAGTAAATTAGTTTCCAAAAATGATAATTGCATTTTACCCTTCCATAATCAGAGTATAAGAATTTCAATGTGACTATACATTTTTAAGTATAGATAGAGATACCAGCATTAAGAATAAATACATACATTTAGCTAAGTTGATAAGCAAAAAACCGTGTCTCCTTTTATTTCATATTTTTGGATACTGTTGAATCTATAGTTTCATACATTCTTATTAACCAGTTGTATTTGTTCTCTTTAAAACTTACAGAAAATTTACAGAAGTCCAAGAACTCCCTCAAGATTTAGCAAAAATTGATATACGTCCATTTTTTATAGCTTTTTCTTACTTTCTGTCATGACGTTTTAAACTTACCACATACCTGCTCTGCTCCTGCCCTGAAATGAACCATTTCTTCACGTTCTATTTTCTTTTAATGAGGAATGGTACTTAGAAATCAAGATTTTTGGGTACTAGATATGTTCATTTCTACTGAAATATCATTGCTTCTAGATTCTCCTAGCAGACAAAACTAGGAAAATAAGTATGTTTCCAATTTTCCAATTCCAGCCCAACCCTACAGGATTCTTCATTGCCTTCCCGTATTCTGTATACTTCTTTTCACAGCGAGACCACAATACTATCAACATATTTATTCACTTGTTCAGTTCTACAATACTCAGAACACAGGTTCAGAGCCGTTTCACCCATATCACTGTGAAATACAAATCCAAGATATGTTTGCGGTTATCTTTTTTCTCCTCTAGGCTGAGATTACATAATGAAGTGCTATGTTCACCCATTTTGTTTTGTTTTTTTAAGCAGGGTCCACACCCAGCTTGGAGCCCAATGTGGGGCTTGAACTCACGACCCTGAGATCAAGACCTGATCTGAGATAAAGAGTCAGATGCTTAACTGACTGAGCCACCCAGGTGCCTGTGAAGGGCTGTGTTCAAAAGTCACAGGTTATTAATTTTTTTCTTCTTCTTTTAAAGTCTTCATGTGGGGTGCCTGGGTGACTCAGCCAGTTGAGCATCTGCCTTCGGCTTGGGTCATGGTTTCAGGGTCCTGGGATCAAGGCCCCTGTTGGGCTCCCTGCTCAGCAGGGAGTCTGCTTCTCCCCCCCGCCCTCTCTCTCTCCCTAATAAATAAACAAAATATTTTAAAAAAATAAAATAAAATCTTTACATAATTCATTTGAAATCTAGTCGGGTTCATTTGTTTCTGCTTGTTTTAAATTTTAGTTTCCCCCCAGTAGCCTTGTAGATCTAATGTGCTTTTTTGTAATATGTAAGACACATATTTCCCAAAGTCAAAACTGTACAGAAGGTGTCTTTGTATTCAAGTGGGCAGACTCAAAACCTAGTGCTTGTGCTTTCACAGACTATTAAGGTTAGTTCTCTCTATTAAGGCCGATTGTTCATATATGTGTGTGTGTATGTTTCTGTGCATGTGTGTGTGTGCCTCTGTGTGTGTGTGTACATGCGTATGTGTGCCTATCACATATCAAATATATTAACTTTTTATTATGAATATTTTCATTATTCAATCATTTGTTTTCTCAGCAAATACTTTATTGAGGAACTACTACATGCCAGGCACTGTCTTAGGCACAGAGAAACAGTGATGAACTGACAAGACAAAGTCCTTGAACCTTATGGGACAAGCCAAAGGCCAGAAGTATGAAATAGCAATATGTTCCACACTAACTCAGAGTAAAATAAGGGAGGGAGTGACAGGAAGTGATGGGAAGGTCCTTTCTATTTGGAATTAGGTTAGAAGGGCATATAAGCTATGACAGAAATTTGGGTTTTATCTTAGGTGACAAAGAACCAGTGAATGATTTTAAAAAGGGTAAAAATGTGATCAACTTTGCATTTACCTATATAACTCTAGTAATACTTGGAATGTTAAACCCAGTAGGTTACTAAAATTAAGAGAGTGTGGGGGGGATCATTTTTTTACCCTGTACTGCTGAGTCAGTCCAAAAAGTGGAAATTCCTGTACTCAGGTATGTTGCTCATTTTGGAATAGTGAGGGGGCGCCTGGGTGGCTCAGTGGGTTAAGCCTCTGCCTTCAGCTCAGGTCATGATTTCAGAGTCCTGGGATCGAGCCCTGCATCAGGCTTTCTCCTCGGCGGGGAGCCTGCTTCCCTCTCACTCTGCCTGCTTGTGATCTCTGTCAAATAAATAAATAAAATCTTAAAAAAAAAAAGGAATAGTGAGTTACAAAATTTCTTAATTTGGAGAATCAATCATCACAAATGCATGACTTGGGTTCTTTTGGCACTATTTTTTTTTCTCTTTTCTCGAAGCAAACTTCCCAACAGTGAGGCTGAAGTTTTCATCTATTTGACTCCTGTGTCTACATACCAACTGGATCCAAATTCTAAAGGGAGAGGGACTATCTTAGCGCCTCAATAACCCAAACTGTCTCCAGTGCTTAGAGGAAAAGCAGGGACTCAGAGAGCCAGCAAGAGTGGATCCGAACCACAATGAAGTTCTGAACAGTAAATACAATTGCTTAGGAGAGTGTGGTATATTAAAAACCAACAAACCAACCAACAAACCAACCAACAAAGACAGACGGAGAACAGAGGCTGAGGAACCCCAGCTTTAAGAGTTTAGATGGAGTTGGTCTGTATAAGAGTTAAGAATGGAGACGGTCTGTATCTCAAGTTCCTGTGAACGGAATTGCGAGGTTTTCAGATTCTGGAAGGTCCTGACTGCAGGTCCTGTCTCTCACCTAACCCGCAGGGAGTGTGGAGAGCACACCTGCCGTGAGCGTGTCAGTGCTCAGCCTAGGAAGGGTGATGAGCTCCCTAAGTTTTGCTGACAGTTTGCGGTTGGAAAGCATTTTGTGTAGTTTCTGTACAGCTTTCTACTTCCACGGTGGGGTCCTGCGAATCCTCGTCAGTAGCACAGAACAGGACGACTGCGGGCCCGAAGGATGAACTGTGCAGCCGTGCAGGGATGAGGGCAGGCGCGCCCAGAGGGCGCAGGGCAAGAAATAGGCACCTGCAGACGGCGAGGCAACGGCTTACACCCAACCGGAGCCCGCAGCGGAGGAAGTCCCGGAGCCAGGGCGAGACTGAGGAGGTATTAATAAATCCGTCGTCTCAAGAAACTGCCCGTGACTCTGCTCTGGGGCCTTTTTACCTTAATGCGTGAAATCTTAGAGTCAGTGAGAATGGTTAAGAAGATACTGGAATTAATAAAATTCCTTTTTGAACCCCTACACATTAACAACCCAGCTAACAGCCAAGAGAATTACTTGTTAAAGCACTAAAATTATAAATGAGGCATTTATAAATTATAAATGAAGAGAAAAAAATGATTAACTTTTTTCCCCCCAAAATTATCTTCCTTGGAATAAGGAGATAAAATAGATTACAGATTAGGATAAGTTACATTCATTAAGATAAGGCAAGAGCCCAAAAGAAACAATTTCAACAATTTATTTCTACAGCTTTCTTTCATGAATTTATTTACTGTATTTGTTCAAACGGCCTCTATAATTTGTGCTTTGTTCTAGCATCTAGGATTTGGAGGATGAAAACGGATAGGGAAAAACTAGTCCTGTCTTTACATTTTTTTAGGGGGGGAGGGGCAGAGGGAGAGGGAGAGAATCTTGAGGCAGCTTCACACCCAGCAAAGAGCCGGACTTGGGCTCAATCTCACAACCCTAAGATTAGGGCTTGAACTGAAATCAAGAGTTAGACGCTTAACCAAATGAGCCACCCAGGCATGCCCTGCTCTGTCTTTACATTTTAATTAAGGAGATAAGACAGAAATAGTAAAATAAAGAACAATTATAAACAAGTAAAAAATTCTACGGCTGAGATAAGCATAAAAGCTGGTTCTCTCGTGCTTTTTTAAAACTTCTTTTAAAAAAAAAGAATTTAAGGGGGGAGGAGTCAAGATGGCGGAGAAGTAGCAGCTGAGACGACTTCAGGTAGCGGGAGATCAGCTAGATAGCTTATCTAAAGATTGCAAACACCTACAAATCCAACGGGAGATC